GAAGTAACCCCGATATAATCCCCTTGCGATGTAGGGCCACTTTGTAAACCGCTGCAATAATAATAAGAATACGAATTGAAATTTGTAAACCGAATACCATCCTCGGAGCCCAATGTGCAATGCATGAAAAGCAGGAAATAAAAACAGAACCAGGGGCAACCGACCAAACTGAAGATGGAAGGCCACTTCAAAGAGATGGGTTTTCAAAGCAGACTTAAATATAGCTGGGCACCTCCAATGGAGGAGGAATAGCAACACGACACAAACGCCCTCTCCGGAAGCCTCTCTTGGCTACCAGACCTCGACATTGGCACTTAGCTCCTGGGCGTATTGGTGTCCCTTAGCTCTTGAACATATTGGTGGGAGTTAGCTCCTGAACATATTGGTGGGAGTTAGCCCCTGGACGTATTGGTGGCACTTAGCTCTTGAACATATTGGTGGCATTTAGCTCTTGAACATATTGGTGGCACTTAGCTCTTGAACATATTGGTGGCATTTAGCTCTTGAACATATTGGTGGCACTTAGCTCTTGAACATATTGGTGGCACTTAGCTCTTGAACATATTGGTGGGAGTTAGCTCCTGAACATATTGGTGGCACTTAGCTCTTGAACATATTGGTGGCACTTAGCTCTTGAACATATTGGTGGCACTTAGCTCTTGAACATATTGGTGGCACTTCGCTCTTGAACATATTGGTGGCACTTAGCTCTTGAACATATTGGTGGCACTTAGTTCTTGAACATATTGGTGGGAGTTAGCTCCTGAACATATTGGTGGCACTTAGCTCTTGAACATATTGGTGGCACTTAGCTCTTGAACATATTGGTGGGAGTTAGCTCCTGAACATATTGGTGGCACTTAGCTCTTGAACATATTGGTGGCACTTAGCTCTTGAACATATTGGTGGCACTTAGCCTCTGGACGTATTGGTGGCACTTAGCTCTTGAACATATTGGTGGCACTTAGCTCTTGAACATATTGGTGGCACTTAGCTCTTGAACATATTGGTGGCATTTAGCTCTTGAACATATTGGTGGCACTTAGCTCTTGAACATATTGGTGGCACTTAGCTCTTGAACATATTGATGGCACTTAGCTCTTGAAAATATTGGTGGCATTTAGCTCTTGAACATATTGGTGGCACTTAGCTCTTGAACATATTTGTGGCACTTAGCTCTTGAACATATTGGTGGCACTTAGCTCTTGAACATATTGGTGGCACTTAGCTCTTGAACATATTGGTGGCACTTAGCTCTTGAACATATTGGTGGCACTTAGTTCTTGAACATATTGGTGGCACTTAGCTCTTGAACATATTGGTGGCATTTATCTCTTGAACATATTGGTGGCACTTAGCTCTTGAACATATTGGTGGCACTTAGTTCTTGAACATATTGGTGGCACTTAGCTCTTGAACATATTGGTGGCATTTATCTCTTGAACATATTGGTGGCACTTAGCTCTTGAACATATTGGTGGCATTTAGCCTCTGGATGTATTGGTGGCACGTAGTGTCGATCTAACTGAGACGAGCAAATAAAGTAGACTCCAGACACAATTTAAGTATGAACCAGATTCGTTGAACAATTGTAATAAATATTTGAAAAAAATGTAACAGTAATCACAACACTATAATAAACACATTGATCGAAATATTAAAATTAATTAAGAATAGGTTTTACCCTTTCTGGAAATAAAACAGGTGCTAAGATGTTCAAACAACAAATAGGCACCATTAACACCTGTTTAATTGCCAGAAAGTGTAAAACCTATTCTTATGTTTTATACTGTCAGAAAGTTCTCCATAGATTCTCAAATTAATCAATTTCACGACTTTAAACTGAACGAGTACTTTGCGCGGGAGAGAAAACCCACACAGCTGTTCCGGAACCTACTTGCTGTACTCCCCCTCCCCCGGAACCCACTTGCTGTACCCCCTGCCGATCAACCCCCCAGCCTAATGGCTACGGGAGCTGCTTCACAGCGGCGTTCACCAACCCCCAACCGTCGCCTCCAAAGCGCCGGGGCTCAGCCGCGCGCTGCCACCAGTGGCTCTTAAAACACATTCCTGCGGAGGGAGCTGGTAGGAACGTTGGGTTGCTCGGTCAATGGCCAGGGTCAACGGCGGCGTGGTGTATTCCGCAAATATGGCCGACTGTGAGGGCGGGCACAAGCCAGCGTGAGTAGATGAAACGTTGAGTTTTATAAGGGCACCAGGGGGTGACCAGCCCCTCCCCACCCAGCCCCACCCCTCCCACTCCCCACCCAGCCCCACCCTCCCCACACAGTCCCTCCCTCCCCACCCTCCCCACCCAGCCCCTCCCCATCAACCCCACCCAGCCCCACCCAGCCCAGCCCCTCCCCACCCAGCCCCTCCCTGCACGATGGATGGACACAATAATCCCCTGTGGGCTGGTATAACCAGGAGCTTCCTACCACTATAAACTTGTTGCCATATTCTTTGGGTCTTTCAGTAAAGTCACGTCGATAGGTTCAAAGAAAATAACAAAAACTACGACGTTTCGATCGCAACACAAGCGTTCGTCATCTAATAATCGTCATAAATAAATGCAAAGGTTCCTCATCCAGTACAATGATGTGGTTGCCGCAGTGTGGATTTCAGTTATACCGCCAGGATGTGTATAGATGGAGCATTCATCAGTGATGTGCTTGATGGTTTGGACTTTTCCACAGTCGCAGTTGGGCGATTCTTTGATCTTCAATTTATGGAATGTGAACGCGCATCTGCCGTGTTGTGTTCGAGCGCGGTTCAGTGTGGTCCATAGTCGTCGTGGGGTGATAGCTTTACGGAATGTGTAGCAATTCAGTTTGAGAGCTTGGTCACTGGCTAGGTGATGATGGTCGGGAATACATCAGGCTCTCTGGTGTAAAGTTTTGATGAAGGAATTCTTCTGGGATGGATGGTGGTTGTAGTCAGGTTTTAGGTAGGCATCCGTAGGGGTGGCTTTTCTGTAGACAGTGTTCCATTGAGCCATCTGGTCTCTTTTCGATTAATTCTCTGGAAAAGAACCCTCTGAGGACCCAATCAAAACCATCACCTTGCCATACATAGCAGGGGTCACCAAAAATATTTACAAAATCATGAGCAAACACAAAATCCAGGTTCGATTTAAAACAGTACTTAAAATTCGTGATCTGATTCCATCTGTGAACGATGTGATCCCTGACATGCAATACCCCGGCGTCTACAAACTAAGCTGTGTCTGCGGCAGTAGTTACAATGGGGACTGGTTATCAAAGAAGATTCGTTCATGAAGCCATCCATACAGTGAGGGAAAAAAGTGTTTAATCCCCTGCTGATTTTGTACGTTTGCCCACTGACAAAGAAATGATCAGTCTATAATTTAAATGGTAGGTTTATTTGAACAGTGAGAGACAGAATAACAACAACAAAATCCAGAAAAACGCATGTCAAAATGTTTATAAATTGATTTGCATTTTAATGAGGAAAATAAGTATTTGACCCCTCTGCAAAACATGAATTAGTACTTGGTGGCAAAACCCTTGTTGGCAATCACAGAGGTCAGACGTTTCTTGTAGTTGGCCACCAGGTTTGCACACATCTCAGGAGGGATTTTGTCCCACTCCTCTTTGCAGATCTTCTCCAAGTCATTCATGTTTCGAGGCTGACGTTTGGCAACTCGAACCTTCAGCTCCCTCCACAGATTTTCTATGGGATTAAGGTCTGGAGACTGGCTAGGCCACTCCAGGACCTTAATGTGCTTCTTCTTGAGCCGTGTGTTTTGGGTCATTGTCATGCTGGAATACCCATCCACGACCCATTTTCAATGCCTTGGCTGAGGGAAGGAGGTTCTCACCCAAGATTTGACGGTACATGGCCCCCATCGTCCCTTTGATGCGGTGAAGTTGTCCTGTCCCCTTAGCAGAAAAACACCTCCAAAGCATAATGTTTCCAACCCCAATGTTTGACGGTGGGGATGGTGTTCTTGGGTTCAAAGGCAGCATTCCTCCTCCTCCAAACACGGCGAGTTGAGTTGATGCAAAGACCTCCATTTTGGTCTCATCTGACCACAACACTTTCACCCAGTTGTCCTCTGAATCATTCAGATGTTCATTGGCAAACTTCAGACGGGCATGTATATGTGCTTTCTTGAGCAGGGGGACCTTGCGGGCGCTGCAGGATTTCAGTCCTTCACGGCGTAGTGTGTTACCAACTGTTTTCTTGGTGACTATGGTCCCAGCTGACTTGGGATCATTGACAAGATCCTCCCGTGTAGTTCTGGGCTGATTCCTCACCTTTCTCATGATCATTGCAACTCCACGAGGTGAGATCTTGCATGGTATCCCAGGCCGAGGGAGATTGACAGTTTTTTTCTTCCATTTGCGAATAATCGCACCAACTGTTGTCACCTTCTCACCAAGCTGCTTGGCGATGGTCTTATAGCCCATTCCAGCCTTGTGTAGGTCTACAATCTTGTCCCTCACATCCTTGGAGAGCTCTTTGGTCTTGGCCATGGTGGAGAGTTTGGAATCTGATTGAGTGATTGCTTCTGTGAACAGGTGTATTTTATACAGGTAACAAGCTGAGATTAGGAGCACTCCCTTAAAGAGTGTGCTCCTAATCTCAGCTCGTTACCTGTATAAAAGACACCTGGGAGCCAGAAATCTTTCTGATTGAGAGGGGGTCAACTACTTATTTCCCTCATTAAAATGCAAATCAATTTATACCATTTTTGACATGAGTTTTTCTCGATTTTGTTGTTGTTATTCTGTCTCTCACTGTTCAAATAAACCTACCATTAAAATTATAGACTGATCATTTCTTTGTCAGTGGGCAAACGTACAAAATCAGCAGGGGATCAAATACTTTTTTACCTCACTGTATGTGTGCATGTATGTTGAACTTCTTTCGCACCATATGCAGCCAACCGTGCTAATGGGATTTGTTGTTGCTGTTGTCGTCTCCATTCCAATTCCTCTGCCCCCCTCTCCCGAACCAATCCTACGATTGCCCAGGCCTGGAACGGGGGTGATGCCTCCCCGAGGATATTAGCGCCTGCGACCGTCCGGTTTCGACGGAAGGCTCAAGACGAGCCGCCCGTGGCCGATGGACGCACGCACGAACGCACGGATGGACACACGCACGGACTGATAGAGCGCCTCGCGCCGGAGGCGCTACGGCGTGCCGCGCTCTCCGCTGCCGCGAGGAGACGGGGGAGTGGCGGTCGGCGGCCCAAGTCGGTACGCGGCGGACGTCTGGAAGATGCCCCCCGCCGCATTCCAGCGACTTAGCGTCAGGGTGAACGGCTTCGACTTGTCGGCGGTCACGGGGAACAGAGGCAGATTGCGGTCGTTCGTGCGTTGAGGAGCGCGCATGCGTGCGTGCGTGCGCGCGTGCCTTCGAACACACGCGCGTGTGCGCGCGTTCACGTGCGTGCGCGTGTGTGCACGTGAGCGAAAAAGACGCATGACCCTGGCAAGATCGTCCGACGGACGGTACGCTACATGCAGGCGCCTTCGATCCCGCTCCGCCGATAACGAGTTATTTGCGTTGTCTCGCTGCGGCCGGATCGATCTGGCGTGTCGCAGTCCCCTGTAACGTCCCTCGTAAAACTCGCTCGCTAGACGGTCGTTTTTGGGGCGGGCTGCCGGTCGATCGCGGTTCGCGTTGATCTCGTGGGACGTAGTTGGACCGCTCCACCCCCCCCCCCCCCATGCGCTTCTCAACGACAATGAAGGGGCGCACCGACCAACCTCCTCCTCCCCCCCACACCAGTTTGGTCAACAAGTGGCACGGTGACCTCGCGCGTCGCGGCCGTCCATGCCGGCCGTCGGCTTGGTGAGTCGTCGGACGCGTCGCGAGCATAGGGGCCTATCAACCCAACGAGTTCCACTACTGTTAGCTTTTTTGACTGTCTGGTGATCGGTGGCAATATTTTTGGGTGCATTATAACATAAAATCATAAGCAATTTAAGGAGTGAACGGAATTCCACATTCCGATGGCAGGACCAAGTCACCACACGAGGCAAGGCACAATTGCATTGGGGTGACAAGCAACGGAACAAACTTTCAGGGTCATACTCCCAACGGAGAGCAGGTGTTTTTTTTTTCTTTCTCCAAACGGTTCAATGACTCAAAGCCTCGCGGCAACGTAGAATTTTTTTTTTTAAGTCCAGCCGGTTGACCGACTCGTCGGCCACCCGGCCGTCGGCGAGGCAAGATGCCGATCCTGACGAACAGCAATGAGCCGGACCTGAGCGACGTGGGCAGCTTCACGGCTGTGCCGGCGATCATCCGCCAGCTGGGGCCGGTGGAGGAGCCGCCTGCCAAGGGGCTGCACTACCGCATGGGCCGCCAGCTGCGGACCGGAGAGGCTCCCTTGCGCCAGCAGTCCGGACCACCCCGGCAGGTGAGCGGGTCCTCCGATATTTATTTGTTTGTTTTCGTTCCGCAAGCGTCACCAACCCACGCGGACCAGCGTGGTGAAGTATGGTCAGAGCAGCCACGATGACTTGAGATGGGGAGGGGGGGGGCTTAAACCAGCAGTGGATTGACAGAAAGGGCTGATAAACTTGGTTTTTATTTGGAAAAGGTAACTGCCCGAGTAGTGGTGTAACGGTTCGCACACCGAGCTTGCGACCTGGATGGCGACGGTTCGATTCCACCTCCCGGTGCGGCTGTTTGAAAATAGCAGAAGCAAGTTTCTTAGATCGTTCCACGGCCGCCCACCTCTGTCCACGCAGCAGCGTTAGAGCTGGGTTGCACCACTGGCAGGTTGACACGTGACGGGGTAAAGAGTGGGTACTCCCACGGCTCCCGAGACGCCACGGTGTCGAAGGTGGTGCCACGGTGGCGAGATGTTAACTCCCTCGCCTGGTGTATAGGAGGTCGTGGGTTCGATCCCCACCCTGATGCCTGCTGTATATTTTGAGTTTGCGTGTTTTTCCCGTGGTCACGTGGCTTTTCTCCGGTTCTTCCCTCCACGTGACGATAAGCCAATTCGTCGTTGAGCTTCCATTTGTGATAGCCAGGTCGCTTCTGAAAAACAGCGACATGGCTCAAGTGGGCCTTACCTGGTAAAATAAAAAAAAATAGTTTAGTAAGACATCTGGCCTGCACGGAATAGTAGGTCACACACCCTCTAGAGCTCCCTCTAGTGGAGGCCCTTCTGCCAGCAGTGGCGCGAGCTAGCAATTGCAGGGCTGCGCCTTGACCCCTTCGCTTGGCACCAACTGCATACTTGATGGACACCGTGCCCCCAATCGTGGGCAGATCTTCCCGTAGAAACGCCCCAAGGCGGAAGGGGACGTCCCGAAGTCACCGCTATGCTCATTATCAGAAGCGAACCGGCTTAATTTACTTCCTGCATGAGGAGGTAAATAAAAACGTCTGACGTTTGATTTTTTTTCCTCTCTGATAAACATTTGGCAGGTCTCGGAGGGGGTAAAGGGCGCTGGTGGTGTGGGGGGGGGCGCAATTTCTCTCATCCATCTCCCCCCTTGGATCCATCACTGGATACCACTAGGGTCTGCCCTTTGAATGTTGAAGATGCATGCGTGTTGTATGACTGTATGTTGTATGTATGTTGTATGAATGTATGTTGTATGTATGTTGTATGAATGTATGTTTTATTATGTTCTATGTATGTTGTATGAATGTACTTTGTATTATGTTACATGTATGATGTATGTATGTTGTATATATGTGTGAATGTATCTATGTTGTATGCATTTTGAATGTATGTTGTATGTATGTTGTATGAATGTATGTTTTATTATGTTCTATGTATGTTGTATGAATGTACTTTGTATTATGTTACATGTATGATGTATGTATGTTGTATATATGTGTGAATGTATCTATGTTGTATGCATTTTGAATGTGTGTTGTATGTATGTTGTATGAATGTATGTTTTATTATGTTCTATGTATGTTGTATGAATGTACTTTGTATTATGTTACATGTATGATGTACGTATGTTGTATATATGTGTGAATGTATCTATGTTGTATGCATTTTGAATGTGTGTTGTATGTATGTTGTATGAATGTATGTTTTATTATGTTCTATGTATGTTGTATGAATGTACTTTGTATTATGTTACATGTATGATGTATGTATGTTGTATATATGTGTGAATGTATCTATGTTGTATGCATTTTGAATGTGTGTTGTATGTATGTTGTATGAATGTATGTTTTATTATGTTCTATGTATGTTGTATGAATGTACTTTGTATTATGTTACATGTATGATGTATGTATGTTGTATATATGTGTGAATGTATCTATGTTGTATGCATTTTGAATGTGTGTTGTATGTATGTTGTATGAATGTATGTTTTATTATGTTCTATGTATGTTGTATGAATGTACTTTGTATTATGTTACATGTATGATGTACGTATGTTGTATATATGTGTGAATGTATCTATGTTGTATGCATTTTGAATGTATGTTGTATGTATGTTGTATGAATGTATGTTTTATTATGTTCTATGTATGTTGTATGAATGTACTTTGTATTATGTTACATGTATGATGTATGTATGTTGTATATATATGTGAATGTATCTATGTTGTATGCATTTTGAATGTATGTTGTATGTATGTTGTATGAATGTATGTTTTATTATGTTCTATGTATGTTGTATGAATGTACTTTGTATTATGTTACATGTATGATGTATGTATGTTGTATATATGTGTGAATGTATCTATGTTGTATGCATTTTGAATGTGTGTTGTATGTGTGTTGTATGAATGTATGTTTTATTATGTTCTATGTATGTTGTATGAATGTACTTTGTATTATGTTACATGTATGATGTACGTATGTTGTATGTGTGTTCTACGTTAAACTGCTTTCGCACACCGTGCGTAAGCCAACCGTGACATTTGGAAGTGCGGGGGAAGTCCAACAGGCATTTTGGTGCAGCTGAGAAGTGTCGTTTATATTTAATTGTCATTATCCCAGCACTACCAGCGCTCAACGAAGGTATTGATGGGCAGGGTGGAGGCAGAGGTTAATCCAGGTAGCTTCTGTAAAAAAAAAATATCGAGCTCAGTTGACCTTACATGGTGAAATAAAACAAAGTTTAGCAAGAAGCTCCTAGATTGGATTGCCCGCAAGGGCGCATTGCCCTGCGGAGTTTATATTTATGCGTTCGAACCCAAGAAAAACAACTCTCGTGGATAATATTGGTCGCGAAAGCCTTAAACTGTGTGGAGTGTTTCATGTTCTCCCCCTGTTATGCATGGGTTTCTTCCGAGTTCTCCGTTTTCCTCCCATAGCTAAGCATTGCAACTTCAATGACGTCGAAAAGCAATATGAATATCCCACAGATAACAACAACGTAGCTCGTGTGGGCGAAACACATCCCCGTGCCGACAAATTACCTGCAAAAGACTCATTCGGGATTAGCAGCAACATAACCCCCGACTGCAAAAAAAAAACAACTTGGCAGGATTCTAATCCCAAATAATCTTGAGATCCAGTGAGGCTTTTCTGGGTTCACAACCGCAACAATAATAACAACAGCAAATCTCACTGCGATCAGGCCAGGGCCAATTCCCGACTCGGCTTAACAACAACAAACGCATCAAGTTCAATGGGGAATGTACAGCCATCTCATTGAGTACGTATGTACTGGATGCAAGCTGAACTTCTTTCACGCCGTACGTAGCCAACTGTGCCAATCAGAGGTGCGGGGGAAGGGAAACAAACGAAACACAAAACAGCAGCTCTAAATAAATGAGTTTGTCAATATAGACGATTTAAACGTCCATAGCTCCAGTGGCTTCCTCATATCGGAAGAGCGTTCCAGACGGCCGTAGAAGCGCACCTGAAAGCGCCGCGCGATGCGGTGACCACCGCCTTTGTTCGGGGGCTAGCCAAAAGCCGCCGCTGCGAGCATGAACGCATGTATGTTGAACTTCTTTCGCACCGTACATAGCCAACCGTCCTAATTGGAGGTACGTGGAGGAGAAGGAAAACAAACTAAAAAACACAAAGCGGCCTCGAGCCTCTCCTGCCTAACTAGCACCAACAAACAAACAAACGACGACGACCGTGCGATAACCCTCTATGGCGACGGCCTTTCCCCGCCGCCGAAGGTGATCATCAACGTGGGCGGCCTGCGGTTCTCCATGCCGTGGACGACGCTGGACGAGGGCTGCCCCTCGGAGCGCCTGGGGCGACTGCGCTCCTGCAGCAGCCACGACGACCTGATGGCGCTGTGCGACGACTACGACGTCGCCTGCAACGAGTTCTTCTTCGACCGCCACCCGGCCGCGTTCGGCGCCATCGCCGCGTGCCTGCGCGCCGGCAAGCTGCGCGTGTCGCGGGGCACCTGCGCCCTCGCCTTCCGCGAGGAGCTCGCCTACTGGGGCGTGGACGAGGCGCGCCTCGAGTGGTGCTGCCGCCGCCGCCTCTACCAGAAGCAGGAGGAGGAGGCGGAGGCCATGAGGCACCTCGAGGAGATGGAGACGGAGCAGGGCCAGCAAGGGGCGGACAAGTTCGACGAGATGGTGAGTTTGGCGGACGCGGCGACGTAGCCGGCCGCGGCAGGCCAAGTTGACCGTGGCCGGCCGCAACTCCGCCGGGGACGAGGGGCGGGTAAAGGCGCAGCCCTGCAGTTGCTCACTCGCGCCACCGTTGACCGGAGGGCCACCGCTAGGGAGGATCTTGGGAGAGTTTGCCGCGAGGATGGGGGGCGGGCGACCGTTCCCCCACCGCCGCACAAGATTGGGAGAGGTCGGGGCACCCAGGCTGGACCCTGGAAGTCGCGGGAGGCCACGGGAGGGAAACTCGTCACTGGAAGCAGCAATGTAGGCATCGTGGTGCAAACGCAAAAAAAATTCCCCGTGGGTGCATTGGGCTTCAAGTGGTGAGATGTTAACTACCTCGCCGGGTATGCAGGAGGTCGTGGATTCGACTCCGACCCTGACAGTGCCTGTGAATTTGGAGTTTGCGTGTCTCTCTCTCTCTCCCCGTGGTCGCGTGGATTTCTTTTTCTCCGGGTCCTCCGGTTTTTCCCTTCCGTGTTTAGAATGAACATCGTGCGCGTTCAGAGTATTTGGCTGCTACAAATTTCCACACTTCGTTGAGCTTTCTTTCGTGGCCGGTTCGCTTCCGATAAAGAGCATTGCTCAGTGGGCCTTGCCTGCAAAAAAAAGTAGTTCACTGTTTTAGTTTATTTAAGGAAAAATAAGTTAAACGTCAAAAGTGATTTCCTGCTCCAACGAGCATTCAGGCAGTGCTCATTGCTTGTCTCCAGCCCCGAGCCAACGGTGGGGATTCCGCGTCCCTAGTTGCTGGAGTCAACTTCCCCTGCGCTACAACCACTCTTGGCTTAAGTCGATATCGTTTTCACACTCACCACCTCACCACTCACCACCTCACCACTCACACTCACCACAGACCCCTCATCACTCACCCTCACCATTCACCACTCACCCCTCTCCCTCACCACTCACGCTCACTACTCACCACTCACCCTCACCACTCACGCTCACCACTCACCCCTCTCCCTCACCACTCACCCCCACCACTCACCCCGCTCCCTCACCACTCACGCTCACCACTCACCCTCACCAATCATCTTCACTACTCACCACTCACCCTCACCACTCACCCTCACCACTCACCCTCACCACTCACTACTCACCACTCACGCTCACCACTCACCTCACCCTGACCACTCACCACTCACTCTCACCACTCACGCTCACCCTCACCACTCACCCAGAGCCCTCACCACTCATCCTCACCACTCACCCTCACCACTCACCCCTCTCCCTCATCACTCACCCTCACCACTCACCACTCTCCCTCACCACTCACCCTCACCCTTCTCCCTCACCACTCACGCTCACTACTCACCACTCACCCTCACCACTCACGCTCACCACTCACCCCTCTCCCTCACCACTCACCCTCACCACTCACCCTCACCACTCACCCCTCTCCCTCACCGCTCACCACTCACCCTCACCAATCATCTTCACTACTCACCACTCACTCTCACCACTCACCCTCACCACTCACCCTCACCACTCGCTACTCACCACTCACGCTCACCACTCACCCTCACCACTCACCCTCACCACTCACTCTCACCACCCAGAGCCCTCACCACTCACGCTCACCACTCACCACTCACTCCTCTCCCTCACCACTCACCCTCACCACTCACCCCTCTCCCTCACCACTCACCAATCATCTTCACTACTCACCCTCACCACTCACTACTCACCACTCACGCTCACCACTCACCCTCACCACTCACCCAGAGCCCTCACCACTCACCCTCACCACTCACCCTCACCACTCACCCCTCTCCCTCACCACTCACCCTCACCCCCCCTCTCCTCTTTCCTCCCTCCCTCCGTCCCCTATGCTCAACCAGAATGTGAACTCGCAACCTTCCCAGTGAGAGCCGCTCGCTCTACCGTTGAGCCAACCGGCCGGTTGCTTTAGACCAGGGGTCGGCAACCTACGGCTCCGGAGCCGCATGCGGCTCTTTACGGGCTGCTTCTTGACGATGAGTACGTATGTACAGTATGTACTCAGATGCATTGCGGCTCTTGAAATACTGAATTTTGTACCGAATTGGAAAGAAATGGCTCTTCTTGTTATTTTAGTTGCCGACCCCTGCTTTAGACGAAGCGAAAAAAAAAAAGCCTAATCCTTAATCTTTTAGAGTGCAAAAACAACCCCAACAACATTGCTTTCCCAAATCTGGAGTGTTGTCCAAATGTGGTCACCGTAATCATAATCAGCATCGGCATTTAATATCTTTAATGCGCTACATCCCCGACGCGCATGCAGAATGGTTTAACGCGTGAACCCAACGGCCCACAGATCTATTAATGTATTAATGCAAGAATCACGTGACTGTACGGAGAACCGTGCAAGTGAATACGACATAAGAAAAACAATATATTCAGCGTTTGTCGTTTTCCTCCTGGAAGGCAAAGATATCTCGTGTAGCCTGAACACACTTACTCTTTGGTTCTCTCGGTAAAGTCACGTAGGTATTAAATAAAATAAATCACGACGTTTTGGGCGCAACGCAAGCGTCCGTCATCAGATGGGAAAGCATGACGGATGCTTGTGTTGCACCTGAAACGTCGTGATTAATTTTATTTTCTACCTACGTGACTTTACCGAGAGAACCAAAGAGTATGGATTCCTGCAGTCACGAAAGCTTCAAATCAAGACTGAACACTCGTGTCGGGCAAGCCAGAATCAGAATCTTTATTTAAACTGCAGGAGGAATCCGATGAGCTATGAAGCTTTTTTCACAGATTTCCAGTCTGGGCGATCACCTACAGTACGAGAGGGTGGGTGGCCAGTACCACGCCCGGCCAACTTTGTCTCCCGAGCTGCAACAATGACATATACCACACCAGGTTACTCATTTGAGGATGAGTCGACCTAGGGGAGTACACGGACTCGTTCAAGTAATCGTCACACACTGCTCACGCGCCCCGTCCACACGTGCGGGCCAGTGGTGGAGTTTCACATTTACTAACAAATACGAAACAAAAATCTAAACTATTTTTACTTTCATCTTCTTGGTTCTTTCGGTAAAGTCACGTAGAAGGGAAATAATAAAATAATAAAAATAAAGCATAATAAAATAATTCTCACGACGTTTCGGCCACAACGCAAGCAGCCGTCCTCAGGTGAAGAACACCTCAGGTGAAGAACACCTGAGGACGGCTGCTTGCGTTGTGGCCGAAACGTCGTGAGCATTATTATTTTATTATGTTTCATTTATTTAAATTTTTATTATTTTATTATTTCCCTTCTACGTGACTTTACCGAAAGAACCAAGAAGATGAATCCCTGCAGTCACGAAAGCTTTAAATCGAAATTTATTTTTACTTTACCAGGTAAGGCCCACTGAGATACAATTTAGTTGTTGTTGTCAGAAGCGACCTGGCCACAATGTATAGCTCAACGAAGTGGCTCATCATCGCGTGGAAATATATAGCGGCCAAATATTCTAAATGCACGTTTCGTCGTTCCACCCTCACCGCTCAGAGCCCTCATGGAGGGGGAGAGGTGCGGGGGGAGAGGTCGGGCAGGCAGCGGCATGGATACCGTGCAGGAGACTTTTCTTCCATGATACAGGTGTTTTGGGTTAATATACGAATGTGTCCATACTCTTTGGTGCCCAGTATAAACCCCTTGACTCCGGATTCTCTCCCACTTCAGTAAAAATTATTGCTGTGGTTGTCACACCTGATGATGATTGCTTGTGTTGCAATCGAAACGTCGTGATTTAAGTAATTAATTAATTACTTAATTAATTTTCCCCTCTTTCTTTTTTTCTTTTCTTCACCTACGTGACTTTACCGAAAGAACCAAGAGTATGGATCCTTGCAGTCACGAAAACTTCAAATCTAGACTGAAGCTTCAAATCAAGATATAAATGCGTCATTAAACCCGCCACCACCCGGCACGGCCAATTAGTAAGGTTTGTCACGTAAACAGAACGTGCCAATTCGTTACCAGTACAGCGCACCGGTGTGTTGGAGAGCCAAGCCACAGCATTTACAATGTAACCTTCCGAATTGGTTGTGTCGGGTGGTGGCGGGTTTAACGACACATTTATATATTTACGCGATCTAACCCCAAACAAAACCTGTATTATGTTCGATAGATTCTCTAATTAGTCTTGGCCAGTCGTAACTAGTTTTGCGCAGCACGCTGATGCGCAAAACGTGAACCAAACGCCGCCCCAACAGGAGTCATACGTCCCATCCTGCACGCAATGTGAAGCAGATGCCTCACCAACACCGCAGTGACTGGAGGCGTGGACAGGTGACCTCTCTGTGCGTTGTGGGGGTTACGCACGTGGCCCAGTCGTCTTGACTGGGGGGGGGGGGGTACTACTCCCAGCTTCTCCAGTTAGCACGATTGGCTACGTACGGTGCGAAAGAAGTTCGACATACATACGTACATACACACAAAAAAGGCAAAGATTCCCCGTTAGCCTTAACAGACTGTAGGGGCAAGTGCTGTTAGCGAGCACCTATGAAGGCCGGAACGGTACACGAGGGGGTTTGTGGCCAACACCACGCCCGGCTGCCTTTGTCTCCCCACTGGCGATGTTTACACACCGCACCAGGTACTCATTTGAGGCTGAGTCTACCTAGGGGAGGTCCCGGACCAGTTCAGATAATCGTCACTAATGTTGGCCGTGAGTGGGAATCTAACCCGGATCGCCGGCTTCATAGCGCAGCGCGCTAACCGCTACACTGCTGCTCCTCAAATATGTACATACTTACACACGTACATACATACACACGTGCATACATACACACGTACATACACACACACGTACATACATACATACCAAAGACGTTGACGACCACCACCCTACCATTCTCCCATCGATGTATCTTTTGCCGCCAGTGGTGTCAGCTCATGGGGTGCGGCAATTGGTCAGCTGGGGCCCCAATATTTGATTTGTGTCTTCGCACAGCCGCACCAAAGGCCATTTATATATCGCTGCTCCTCTTGCTTCATCTCGTCGTCATCGCGACGTTCACGGTCGCGAACATTTAACGACGTCGGGGCGCTCCGTCGTCCCAAAAATATGTTTCGTGTTATTTCACGCTGTTGTTGTTGTTGTAAACATGGTGCATGGTGGTTGTCAAGGGGGCCCCAACTCGTAGCTTTGGCCACCAGAGGGGGGCCCGGCACCCAGAGGCGTAGCTAGGGGGTGGGGGGGGCAGGGGGGTACATATGTCCCCGGGCGCCAAGGTAAAGGGGCGCCAAAATGAGGCTTACGACGTTACATTATAACTTATTGCGGCGGGCGCGGCAGCCTGAAACTACTGCACAAATCTACACCTCAACCTAAAAGTTTATATCCCGCCACACACAGCCTACATGTCATGTAATTACATTTTGGTATGTGATTAAAAGGGGGGGGGGGGGCACCAATTTTATAGTTCGTCCCCGGGCGCAAAATATCCTAGCTACGCCTTTGCCGGCACCCCTCTGCCCCCATGCTGCTTAAGCTCCCGATTGCCGCTTAGGTAAAAAAAACATCGGTTCGCATTATAACTTTTCGTTTCAAACGTACCTTCGCTGACGCATCATCGTTCGTGACAGATGGGCAAACCCGCGTGACGTTGTTTGTGTCGTCGCTGCTTTTCGTTTCTCCGCGGCGACACCCCCTCGCAGGACGACAGCGGCGGCCCAGCGAGGACGCGGGCGGCCAGGCGCTTGAGCTGGCTCATGAGCCGCCTACGCGACATGGTGGAGGACCCCAGCTCGGGCCTCCCCGGGAAGATCTTCGCCTTCCTCTCGGTGGTCTTCGTGGCCATCACGGCCGTCAGCCTCTGCATCAGCACCATGCCCGACCTGCGGGCCGAGGAGGACAAGGTGACGGCAGAGGCCCCCCCCGCTCGCCTCGTTTCATTCTAGATTTGAAGCTTTCGTGACTGCAAGGGTCCATACTCTTTGGTCCTGTCGGTAAAGTCACGTAGGTGAAAAATAATAAATAGAAATAAATAATTATAGATTTTAAGCTTTCGTGACTGCAAGGGTCCATACTCGTAGTTTTTTCCGTGAAGTCACGTAGGTAAAAAAAGAAATAAAAATTAATAAAATTAATAAGAATAAAATAAGAATAATTAATTTTAATTTCATTTTTTACCTACGTGACTTTACCGAAAAAACTAACGAGCACACCTCGTTTAACCCCGGGCAGAGCCTCTGTCCTGCCAAGTTCTGGCAGTGTTATCATTGTTAAGCTCTCTTTTGTTTGTCTTACCAGGTAAGGCCAGGCTATCACAAACGACAGCTCACGTGGAATTGTGCAGCAGACAAATACTCTTAAGCGCATGTTTATAAATGTAGAGGGAAAAATCGGAGGACCGGGAGAAAAATCCACGTGACCACGGGGAAAGAGAGAGAGAGAACTTGCAAACTCCAAAAATTCATGTGTCAGGGTCAGGGTTGGGATCGGGATCGAACCCACGACCTCCTGCGTACCAGGCGAGGTCGTTAACATCTCGCCACCGTGGCACCCCCGGGACGGTAAGTCTTCGCATCCGAAGACGTACCGATAAAGTTATCGGAACGGAATCGAAAGAAAAACTGATGACGTACATGTATGTCATTGGAATGGGAAAGGGATAATATACATGTTGTCCGACAGCAATTTTGGGGCGGCGGTGATGTCTATTGCTTGTGGCCAGTGATCCGGCACTGTGGAAGCAGCAAGCGGTGAGGAGGTTGGTGGATCACCACACAAATGTTTGGGAAACTCCCGTTAGAGTGTGCATTGAGGAGGAGCCCTTATTCTGGCTCACCAAGAGAAGGCGGCTCAGCAAAAGATGTGGATTCCACCTATTTCGTCTGTATGGGATAGAGTGTTTCCCCCTCGCACCTGTGGGTTTTCTCCGGGTGCTCTGGTTTGATCCCACGTGTAAACATTCATGAAATGGCTGATAACACTTTCATACAATAAGGACCGCAGAGCTTGGGGCGAATGGGGCACCAGGCCACCACCTGGGATGGTCTTGATCTTTATCTTCTCCAGCGAATACTGTTTTATTATTACTACAGTGTCAATACTCCCACCTCTTCGAATACGTCTGACCAGCGTGGAAGAGCAGGCCAAATATGTGAAGTGAATTTCTTTTTTACCAGATAAGGCCCATTGAGCTATGCAGATCTTTTTTAGAAACAAGCTGGCCGCAAATGATAGCTCATTGCATGGCTTATCACGTGCAAACGTATCGCAGCCAAATACTCTTAACGCGTGTGGATGGAAAAACCAGAGGACCCGGAGAAAAATCCGCGCGACCACCGGGAGAGAGAGACACGCAAACTCCAAATATACAGGTGTTGGGGTCAGGATCCAACCCACGACCTCCTGTATACCAGGCGAGGGGGTTAACATCTCCTAGCCACCATGGTGATGATGAGAGAGAGACACGCAAACTCCAAATATACAGGTGTTGGGGTCAGGATCGAACCCACGACCTCCTGTATACCAGGCGAGGGGGTTAACATCTCCTAGCCACCGTGATGATGATGATGATGAGAGAGACACCCAAACTCCAAATGTACAGCAGGCGTTAGGGTCGGGATCGAACCCACGACCTCCTGTATACCAGGCGAGGGAGTTAACATCTCCTAGCCACCATGGTGATGATGAGAGAGAGACACGCAAACTCCAAATATACAGCCGGCATCAGGGCCGGGATCGAACCCACGACCTCCTGTATACCAGACGAGGTCGTTAACATCTCGGCACAGGGGCGGCCTTTTGCACCGTACGTAGCCAACCACAGCTAATCTCTTTCCTGGAGGCCCTTCCTGCCAGCAGTGGGCTTGAGTAACCAATTGCAGCTCTGCACCTTTAGCTCTTGTATGTGTTGCGTAATCATAATTTAGCGCTGAGGAAATGGAAGTGAAATATTGTTTGGCGAATGAGCACGTCGGAGTGTGCGTTTACTCTTATCACGTTAACAGCACACTCTCAATTAAAGTGAATAAAATTACCTGACACGTAAAAACGCCTACCTGTGAAATTAAATCACCCTGAAGGGAAATTACGAAGGGCATTCAAATTAAGATTACGGTGAAATAGAGTCATTTTTGTAAATCACATCTAATATCTGACATTTAGTTTTCAAGGGACTTGGTATGTTGCAATCATTTTTGTTTGCACTTCATTCCAGCGGTGTGGCCTTTTCATTTTGACAAACCAGTGTTTACCGTCCGCGTGCAAATTAACTTGTGACGCGTCACGCCGAGTCGATAGGGCAAAATTCGACTGGCCACTTAGCCCCGTTCCCTTCAGAGACGTCCGCAAGACGCAGGGTGGGGTCCCGTTCACCGCCGCATCTCGGAACGCCCAAGCGGCTTGGCGTTACATTTGCTGAGAGAGGTGCTGCGCCGTTGTTTTCAAAGACGTTGTCACTCACCGCAGAGAACCGTAGCGGCACGGCAGCACTCTGGAGCCAGACTGTGCCACGTGCCCTCCCGCATGGCCTTGTGGGAGCCTCGGTACCGATGAAGTTGTTTTGTTTTTTCTTACGATTCCGTTCTGATGATGTACACGTATGGAATGGAATCTGAAGAAAAATTGGTGACGTACGTCATTGGAATAGGAAAGGGTTATCCATCATAGAGGTTTTTTGGGTTAGATCGCGTAAATATATAAATGTGTCGTTAAAACCCGCCACCACTCGACACAGCCAACTAGTAAGGGTTGTCACGTAAACAGAACGTGGCTAATTCGTCACTAGTACAGCGCACCGGTGTGTTGGAGAGCCAAGCCACAACATTTACAATCTGTGTACAACGTTTCGCCAGTAATTACAACTAGCTTCATCAGGCGGCAGCCAGATTTGGCACGTTTTGTTTACGTGACAACCCTTACTAGTTGGCTGTGTCAGGTGGTGGCGGATTTTAAAGACACATCTATATATTCACTTGATCTAACCCAAAAACATCTATTATGGATGATATTGGTCGGGAAAGCTTACGTGTTAAACAGAAAAGGGTTAATTTGGCCAAATCTGGTTCTGAGAATCAGAAATATCAGTTCACCTGTCATATGATGAACAATCTCGGCACTTTGTTGGGAAATCAACAGTTGTTGTACTCCAGGTGGTCTTGCCCCCGTGATGGGGAATGTGAAATGTCTACTCCTGACTCAAGCTTAAAATTGAGAAGTGAGCACTGATGCTTCTATGCTCATTATATCGGGAAATCACTCTGAGTTTTTGACTTAAATTGTCTTAAATCTTGACTTAAAGCTTTCGCGACTGCAGGAATTCATATTATTTGGGTCTTTTGGTAAAGCCATGGCGGCTTTACCGAAAGACCCAAAGAATATTAAATTGTCTTGTATTAGCCGCACTGTAATGCAAGCAAGAACTTTTTTACATGAAGTAGCAATCACCGTTTTTCTTCAATAAAGTTTGGTCGATTGTACTTATTTCATGCAACCTAGAAAGCAGACGAAGTATATTATGAAGTGATTATTATGAAGTGTATTTCAGCCATCGGTCACCGAAATACCCCAAACACATTGCATTGAGATACATGACGTTATTATTTTTTATTATGTTGTGGAATGACACCGCTTTTTTTAATGACGAACGATTCGCGTGGGAGAAATGTCTCGGGTGTCCGAGCATGGAACCAACACCGCTGATATCTTTTTTTTTTCTTCTAGATTTGAAGCTTTCGTGACTGCAATGATTCATATTCTTAGGTTTTTTCGGTAAAGTCACGTAGGTAAAAACATTAAAAAGTAAAATAAAATAAAAATTAAAATCACGACGTTTCGTAGGCAACACAAGCTTCCGTCTTCAGGTGGTACCGTCACAGCCACGACAGCTGTATCAAGTTACTTTTACCGAAAAAACCTAAGAATACTGCTGATATCCCCCGGTTTTAATCCAGGTATCAGCTGCCCGTGCTAAGCCTGGTTTCACAAATGTATTGAGTTGATGGTCCCAGCGTGGTCACAAATGAGGCCACAAAAAAACACAGCATCGATTAAATGAAGTTGAATTTCAGTTCGCTTAAGTTTGCCTACATTTCTGAGAGAATTGGAGAATTTAAATATGACGTTGGTTGTCATGGGATGAACAATCTCATAGTAGAGTGCGTGGAAAAGTTGAAGGAGGCTTGACTTAAAGGTTTCGTGACTGCAGGAATTCATATGTTTTGGGTATTACGGTAAAGTCGAAACACAAGCGGTCGACCGCTTGTGTTGCGATCGAAACGTCGTAGTTTTTTGTTATTTTCTTTTAACTTTTCTCCGTGACTTTACCGAAAGACCCAAATAATATGGACGGAGGCTGTGACATTCTCGGCTGTTCTCAGACACCCAGGGTCGCAATTTCTCTGCACCGACAGTACACGTGAGAAAGAGACCCGACAACTTTTACAAAGATAGTATAATTTTCAAAGGTTAGATTTTATCCATTTCAAACATAACGCACAATTCCCCCACCCACAAACCCTCCAAAATGTTGGATTTAAAATGGATCATCTTATGCCCACGACAATGCATGCAATACATGTTTTTTTTTCCTGTAGCTTTCACCTTTTACTTCAGGAGTACAGGCGTTCGAGCGTATCACTCCTGGCCTCGCCGCATCAGCTTCCCATGACGCTTTGCGTGGCGTTTCGGATTGTCCTCGTGGCGTACGACCCTCGCCAGAGTGGACGGCCAAACGATCAACACCGATTTATTGACCCCCCCACCCCCAGCCATGTGTGCACCTCCCCCAAGGCGTCGCTCTTCCGCGGCTGTTGTGCTGCGCATACCCTGGGTGTCACTCCTCCGCACACTGGGTGATGCTGCCCAGTGTTGTGCTGCTCCCTGACAATGAAGTCAGCTCCCTGCCCAG